TAACATGATAAATTAAAATTTTAACTTAAGAAACAAAAATTGAACGGAAGCTTGTGTAATTAATTTGCTTCGTTTCTTGGTGAAATTGAAGATGAAGATGAATGAATTTTCACGAATGCCGAGACATTCAGTTTGTCGTATTTGGCACAAAGAAACTGCGATGCGATCACCGCTGATACAATTTGTAACGAGAAAGATCGTCGCGGCAACACGTTGCCGCACGCTATCCATCACGTTATTCTCATCCGCAAACGAAAAGCGTGACTCACGCGATTCGCTTGCCTCGTATTCAGAATTCTAACGTGGAAGCCAACGCGCTAGCAGCTCATTCATCTAGCGATTTTTCAAATCTGCCACCGGTAGACAAAACACGTTCACCCGAATCTTGTTCAGTAAATTGTACGGAGTAATCAGTGTGTACGCGGAAGAATGAGAATCATTGCAAATCATGAAATTTTAATCACCGTTCGACCTCTTCCCGACCTGAATTTTTTTTCTCTCAAGCAAGAGAGAACTATCTTATTTTCTTGTACATACGCTTGTATCTTAGATTGCGGAAATCGCAAGACAAAGTTAACATTTAAGAAACGTTTTTTAATTTTTTGTATGAATTAAAAAACTGTGTGAGAGAATTTTAATCTTAAAGAGTGTCAGGCATTTGTTACTGAAGGAAAGGAATGGAAGGAACTTTCATTGGAACCTGATCATCATCCAAAATTTAATTTGAACCAGTCTTTGTTTCTTTAAAAGCCAAGAGAAGAACAAGAAAACCGCTACCGGTAGGCAAGTCAATCATAACTTACACTCACAGAAAGAATGACAGTTTAAACGCAACTGAAATAATAAACGTATACAGGTAACATGACGATCCATTGACATTCAAGATGCTATTCACAATGAAATTTTGAAGGCATTGGTAACTCTATTCACTAATCAGTCAAGATGATAAAATTGGAATCAAACCAATTCGCATACCTATTCAAGTTTAATGCAATTTTTGGGGAAATAGTCGATTCATGAATTTATCTTAATACGACTTTATTATATTAACAAGTCACGAGTTAATAAGATGTGAATGATCATGGATAAATGATTTTTAAATTGTGCTACTAGATGATAGGACATTCGTAGGGGTGTGCGAGTACCCGAACAAATTCATGTGGTCGACAAATTTTCGGGTAATTACTTTGCAATACTGAATTTAACGCAGCACCGATTTGTTTCTATGTCAGTTGCCTGTGCCTTTAAAAAGATCGCCACTATTTGTCTACACATAATGTTTTGTCAGCAAAGGAGACAATTATACGTACCGCCCTTTTAATCGATCATCTCACGTTTTATGTTCGAACGGGCTTCCCTTTGGTAATTTATTTCACTGTTAGATTTATCATTGATGGTTCAAAAACGCTGCCAAGACACAATGAGAGAGAGAGAGAGAGAGAGAGAGAGAGAGAAAGATCACATGCTATAGAAAGAAGAAAAGAGGATAGAAACGATGAGAGTCGATTGAGTATAGAGTTGGGATAAACTGTAAAGAGAGAAAAAGAAAAAAAAAGAAATATAATTATTATTACTTAGCGCTAGGGGTAAAAAGAAAATGAAATGGAAAGAGTGAAGGAGGGTAGCGCTACCGAAGGTCACCACCTGCTAGTCTTGTCTGTATCGTTATTCGGTTACACAGTGCATACAAAGAAACAATATTTAATATAATCGATTTAATTAATATTATACTGTACTGCTATAAATTATATTAAAAGACAATGAACCATTGCAAATGAATCTTTTAACATGCCCTTTGGAACGGTCGATTGAATAAAAATAATTAAAGAATCGTCGGTCTTAACTATTCCTTCGAATTGTAATCTGTGTACTTTTTATTATCTCTAATTCTCTTCTATGTTTTATGGTTTATAGAAAATTGAAAATAATTGTCAATTCTAAATTTCGATTATAATTGTTTCGTCATTAGAATTTATCAAGCTGTAGTAATTTTGAAAGAAGAAATAACAAAGAGACATTGAAGAAAATAAAAAAGAACTACACTCGCGGACAATGGAGGAAGGCAAAGAATGGTACGTTTTTCATTATTTTCCAGTAAGAAATAATACCTTATATTAACAAAAGCCTGCAATCTATTATTCCTTGAATACTACAGATTTCTCGTTCCTTTTTAAATGTCTGTTAAGAAAGGATTAGTAATCACTATTTCAAAGGTGAGTTTTGTTAAACGCTTAATCGTAAATCTGTGCTAAATGAAATTGCCTTCGACCTCCTAAGAAATCACTTTCCGTAATTACGTCACTGTTGTCCGGGATTGATTAATATGTCCTCGATTACAAGTAATCATCACGGTTACAGTTACTCGCTTTTGTTCACGGTGATACGGATGTTCGCAATTTTACCAATCCATAATCCACGCGTCGATTTCGCAAAAAGTTAAAGTACTGCCAGCTTACTGAAATCTAATTATCATTTAATTGCAATATTTTCTTAAATAAGAAATACTGTTAGGAAGCAATTCCTATAATACAGAATTTCCAAAGTTTTTAAAAACCGAAGTTTCAAATTCAAAATCACCCAATCGAGTACACGTATAGAAGTATTAAAAAAACGATATGAGTCAATGTAAAATCATATTAGTGGTTCTTCAGACTTGTCCGGTCACTTATAAACGATTGGCAATTATTAGTTTTTAGTAGTTATTTATAAAAAAGAATTAACGTGCCCATAATGTTCATTAAGTTCCTTTATAATGCACAAATAGTATATCTTACAGAGGTTTATTATGAATAGATAACAAATGAATTAGAGTAAAACTATTTAAACGATGACTAATGTAACAAAAATCGAAGTGAGTAAATAGGTCAATAATTTTGCTTTCGGTCAATTGTATTCATGTCAAGAGAAATATGGCCGAAACCGGTTGAAGCGGGACCGAATAATATAATCAGGGCCCCACTGTGCATGAAGAAAACTGGTCGTTTTGAGAAACGAGTACGTCCCTGCCATCAGCTTTTTCTCCTAGCCACGTAACAGCAACGTGTCCCTTCAGATGTAACGTCAATGTAACGTCAATAAACGTGATTGTGGAACAGATTGTGTTTCGTTTCGGGATAAATGGTAAAAATTGAAGAGAACAGTTGATATCGTCTACGGTGCGTGATCAATGCAACGTTAGTGCCATAGTGGCATTCATCGATCGCGCTTGGCCGGGCCATTTTCTTATACTCCAGGACCGCGTGGCGTTTATTGCGCAAGTTCCGATGAGCGACGTTTCGCCATTTTTGTTGACCATTCCACAGTTTCAGTGAAAACGGCTCTGACACGGCCGGGTCTGATTTGTTCTGGTCAGGTTCACGCCTCCTAACAGTGGACATCGATTCGCCTTGATCGGGATCAAGAACCGCGATTCGCTTCTCCGGAGAAACGTCACAGTACTACGGTTCCATTTTATCTCTATTAACTCCATGACAGTGTAGTTCAATTGTACACGCGTACATGACGTTAGTTTGGACTTTCTGGTCCGTTTGGTCTTTGTGTATTGAATCATACGCATCTACGCGATCCCAACAAACACGTAAGTATCATTGTACTGATTATACTTATAGCGTTTTGTTAATTTCGAGATTGATAATCTATGGATTAATTAACATAATAAAAATATGAACTGTATTAATTTTTATTATTTTATCCTTATTTGTTTCTTGAATGTTATATCTGATACCTACTAGAATAATTCTTTCAGGATTTCTTTATCTGTACGGTCACAAGCTTTCCTACGTACATGTTCAACAGGAAAAATAAATGTAGTAGTATTGATTAATTTCTTTACATTAAATATCGTACATTTGAAATTTCTCGCTCTGCACGATAAGTTAAACAAATTTGATTGAATCAACAAGTACCTAGAACTATCGCCAACTGTTTTGCCCACTTGGACAATATCGTAACATCAAAAATAAAATATACAATAAAATACAACGACAGTGAACCTACATAAACTTTAGTCCCAGTTTTTGTATGCGTCAATAGTCAAAATTATTTTCCTATTATAAAAATTCTAATTTTAAAGAATCAGACTATCCTCAAAAGCTTATTATGAATACTCTTTTGACAAAGAACATGATTAACGAATGAGCTCCAAAGAGCAATTGAAAAATGCTTGGTAACGAACAGGCGGCAGACTGAAATTTCTAGCATGCACGATTTCCGAGGTTCTACAAACCCGGCTTACTCGTCTCGTCGGTGCGGTGCTATTTTTGGCGCGTGCATAGGTACGGCGACGCTTAAACGATTTCGCAGTAATAGAAGCCGGGTAGACAGATGCAATTGCGAAAATCATTGCGTCGATGCATATATCATCCCTGAGAATCGGCGCGAGTCCCATTGTAGAGTCGCAGAATTGTCTCACTCTCGTGATCAGGAATAGAGTTATTCTATAATGTTGATCGCATATTTGAAATAAAGATCTACTGAGTTTATTAAAAGGAGCTTTCTACAGATCAGCGATATAGCTCACTCAAAAAATTCTTGTACTTTATTTATTTCGTCAAATTTATAATAAAATCAGTAATGAATAATTCTAAATAATAGCTTCTAGTGTCACAGACACAATGTGTTCCATTAACTTAAAATATCTTCAAATGTCAATTTATTATCTTTAAACGTGTCAATGAAAATTGAAAAGAGAAAGTTTGACGTAGATCTAAAAAAAAATGCTACGTTGTCTCATTTCAGTCACGTTTCTATTTCGTAACAATGCCCATTTTTTAGGTCATTGTCACGAGGTGTAGACTTGAATAGGGAGACAAGATGCCGCAACGCGGGAGGGGTATAAATAATATCACTAAAAAAATGGACAACGAACCAGGGGCTTCGACGTCATCCTTCTCTTTTGAGAACCCTGCCGACATTGATACAAACGTAGCAGAAGTACGAAACAAACAAGTTTAAAACATTTTTTCAATTCACTTCCGAAAATGTCAACTGTATCCTCGTACACGTTTTTCACGATGTACCAATGTGGATGGTTGTATTAATAGTGAATGACGAAAAAGATCTGTCCTTTTCGCAGGTCGTGTTGTCAAACAAAGGCGGACCGAAACTGATTCATCTAGATTACATGTACACGCTGCACAAGAAACAGCCGTTCAACATCCGATGGAGGTGCGTTCACAGAACAAAGCACTGCAGAGGCAGCGTCGTTACAACGACGACTTGCACGAGGCCGAGGGTGCGTATGGAGCACAACCATAAGCCAGACATCCCGGCCGCACAGTATGCCAGGCAACGCTTTTTGGAACTCGGCAAACCTTGCGTATTAAAAAGTGAGTTCGCTAGAACAGCTTTTCCAATCGACTGTTGAAACTTGTACTCCTTTGGAAATTCGAGATTGAGAAGAGATGTACAATTACTCTAACCGAACTAAAGGGTAGTATCATTCAAATGCGCGTTATATTCGTATAAATGAATACCGGATTAAAAGCAGATTGGAAACACGTGTTTATGTAGGTCAGAAAGAGCGTGGTCTGTGATGAAATTAGTTCGAATAAGTGGAGTTCGAGGAAGGATAACCAGAGTCCTATTTCACTAACTTTCTCGTCGATGTTGACCTAACTCGTTCGCAGATTGTTTGAACTTTAAAAAATACTTTATGTTTTTGTGATGCATAGTATGGAATGGAAATTTTGTGTGTTCCTAGTGATAGAAGGGACTCCCAGGACCACCTTTAGGTCCATGAACACCGCACCGCAACGAGTGACTAAAAAAATAGAGGAGAATGTGGAAGATAGGAGACCGCTCACGCGAGCCACGGCCAGGACACGTAAGTTCTTTGAATCAATAGTAAATTACGAATGAGTATTATTTCCACTCATTAGTAACTCTTTATCACGACACGTGAATATGTTAATAAATTAGTATCTGTCGATCGATGTACAGTAATATTCATTAAATGACTCCTCGGACAATTAGAAATAATTGCAAAGAACCATAAATGCTTTGTGAAGTCGCAATACTTAAAACGGTTTTGATAAGGTACGAAGGCGAGTCTCTAAGTAAGAGGAAGTAGCTTGACCTTAAATATTCAAAGACAGTTTTAAATAAATGAACTACGAGTTATGATCTGACGCGTTGCTCGCAGCCCGGGAAATTCAAGTCGTCTCGCATACAAATTCAAGTGGAAACGCCGTGTTTTGAACGTGAAAATGTGAGGTAACGTGGTGAAATATAAACGGTATGTAAATAGGAGGAGAGGATAAATTTCAATAGGCGTTTAACGCGGTCTCAGCTTAGCTGGCATCTTGAAGATGCGCGCGAAAAAGAGTGGAGGAGCCGTGGTGGATAGAAGCGTGCCGATCGATGAGAATCCGCGCGACTCGGCTCGGAAGAGCGAGTCGAACGTGATCAGGTCGGTTAGTATATAATTCCTTAGCGAAGGAGACCCGGGACGGGAACGCGCACACGATAGCAGCAACACGAAACACGGCACGGATAATATGCGTCGACGACCGGCGGCGCCGTCGCACATGCGCGCCCTGACGCGCCCCTGTTCGTCCACCGATTTCGATTTTAGTCACTCCCGGGTTCGGCTTCGGGGAAAATCGTTCCGCTCTCGTAGCGAGCTGCACAGTCGGGAACGCGTCGTGGAAAAAAAATACTCGTTCCGAACATAGTAACGATTCTGCGTCGATCGGGCGGAGATAAAAACCGTCCGCTTAAACGACCACGCTGTATTCCGATCTTCCGCTCGCGGCTAACAATAAACACCTACTGTTCCGCCGTAAAATCGAATCGCGAACACTCACTGTAAAGAGAAAACGGAGTATACGTTTTGGCGATTCATTAGCTCGCATCGTCGTCTGGGTCGCATCGCGGACGACTCGTACATCCGATACCGGTTTTAATCGTGAAACGTTCACACGGCAACGAGATTAGGCACGCAGCGAACCACGCGCGATAGGAAGGCCCAGTGTGTCGAGTCGAGTCGATCTGATCCGGTGACGCACACGGAGGAGAAGAAAGAATCGGGTAATTCGTGGTGCGGTTACAAATATAATTGCTCCTGGGAATCGTGCGTACGAGGGTCGATAAATTGTCGCGTGGTCGTCGATACTGCGCGTAGGACGGGCTCCTCTCTCCTTCGAGCGCCGATACAAAACGAAATCGAACCGGTTCGTTCGCAGGCACAAATCGAACGACGGGATTGGATTAAGTGACATCGCGACAGACGACAAGGAGGGTGGAACAAAGACGAAACCGCGAGAGAACAGAGACAGGTACAGTAGGCGAGCGACGCAGCAGTGGCGTGTGTGGCCACTCGATATCGTGTTCGGTCGCAAGTCGCGCAACGGTTGCCATTTTATAGCCGGTCGCTCGAGTGAGATCTCTCTTCGGGGAGGTAAGAAGGAGAGGGAGTGACTCGGTAATAACGGACGAGCGAGCAAGAGAATGCGAAAGTGATAGCGCGAGTAAGAGAGAGGGGGGATAGGAGGGAACAGTGCATAAAAGCTAGGAAACGTCGTCCCGAGGTGGGGCTGGGAGGGGGGTATTTTAGAAACAGGAAATCGAGAGGGGAGAATTTTAGAAACAGGAAAGAGAGTGGGAAGAAGCGAAGAAGAAGGGAACTCCGCAACAGATAAAGTAGAGTGGGACTTCCGTGAATGTTTTTAGAATATGTCCAATACCTAGTCTGGATTTATGGAAATCTGTTTCTTCTCTCCATTTTTTTTAATACTTATCGTGTTGATCGCTCGCAACCTCAACGTCGCGATGCAATATCGATCTAGTCTATACTTCCCGTCACGAGAGTCCATAATTTGCAGTTATGGACACTCGTGACGGGAAGTATACGTAGCATAAGCAGTTAGTATACTATACTGTTGCACGTTCACATCGGATAAATCGTTAATACGTATTATATGTGTGTCGTCTGCTGAATGATGACACGGTCTGCTAAAAGAAGAAATAGAGAGGCATCGAGCCGATAGAAACGATGTTCGAACGCGCGTATATTTTATCTACTCGCCGTGTAATAGACAAAATTGTCATCAATACTTTTTATAGAAACGCTAATTGATAGTAAAAGATTTTGATAGAGATTCGCGTGTATATGTTAAGGATTATGCAATACGATTCAAATTCAATTATGATACTTATAGGAGCGAATAAAGAGTACTAGATATTTTTATAATTCACTTTTAGAGAAGTTCACGATACGCTTTTGCATTCTCTTACAGAACTACTCCGTATAATCTGGGGTCATGATTCTGGCATCGAGATCATCAACTCATTCGATAACGATCGTACGATTTAATTTTTCATTCGACTCGAAATGGGTTAAATGGTATGACATAGCTCTCGAATCGATCGAACCACGATATCTGATTATAGATCCTCTTAAGAGCGAAATCGACGTGAAATCGTTTTTCAAAATTTATAGAAACGAAGAACTTCATCGCCTCAGTTAAATTCACGTATTTCTTCTCATCCCGGAAACGAGAAGAACGCACATATCACGTGAGAAACGTCCATGCAGTCAGATGTCGGTCGCGCGGGAGCAATCGATTTGCGAAACCACGTTTATGTAGAAAGATGTTATCTAAAGATACACTCGCCGAGAAGTGTCTGTAAAACATTTTGCACATTCCGATAGATATTCGTTGTAAATAAAATCAGTATCGGCCCGAATAGACGAATAAACGATTTACAAAAATATTAATATATTTTTTACGTATCGAGAAAAGAACTATTTCGTAGAAAACACCTTTGATGTCGACCATTCCGATCGGATGAAAATAACCGAAAGAAGTTATAACTCGGCAACTGTGAACCGTCTATCCACACAACTGATCAAATTTTTACCACACCGCGTTTTCGTCCCATAGAGAGCAAATACATCGCGATAAGGGAAGTGCGATTGGCGTGGAATCTGATTCTGAAAGAGCCTTAAAATAGCGAGCACAACGGCTACGACGGCGGGTCGGCTTGTGCTGGTGGCCTGCAAGGACACCGGTAAGCTCACAGCCCGCCGTCTCCTGCAGGAGCAACAACGTGAACGAAATCGCGACGTGCCGGTCACCGACACCACCGCCACCACCACGTCGTCCAACGAGGAAGATATCGTGGAAGCTATCCAGCTCGAGGACGTAGCGATGAAACAAGAACCAGAAGACGAGGAGGACTGTTACTTGGAGGCGACCGAGATACCGTCTTTGTCGCCGTCGTCCTCGTCGTCGTCGGCCAATCGTCATGCGGGCTCGTCGCACCGCGTTCGCTCGCACGCGCGTAGCCTCCGCGCTATGACAAATCCGAGCGCGGTTTGGGCGCATTTCGACCTCTGCGCGAACGATCCGCTCCGGGCCCAGTGCCGAATTTGTGGAGCAGTCGTGGTCAGAGGCGGCGCGAATCCACGACAGTGCGGTACAACGAATCTCCACCGGCACCTAAGGGTGCACCATGGTGGCAGACTAATCGGCAGCCGTTATCACGGTAAATGATAGTAGGATCAACCAATTTAAGCTGCGACCGTGTTAATGAATGAGCTAGTAATAGTACGGGACAATATTAGTGTATCGTTTCTATAAACTTTCTAATTTCTTCTAAGGAGTCATATTAATGAATGCAAAAGTGCGATTCTTTTTATGGGTTTTATTAATAATGCGAATTATTGGTTGCAGTGTTACAATCAACTTCCCAGAGCAACTCGACTGGAAAGACCATGAGAATAGCAGCACAGTCCATAATAAGATCTCATATTAGAAATATCGCGCCGACACCTGTACAACAACAGCAACAACAGCAACGACAACCAAAGACTCTTTTGTTAAAAACAATACCTCTAAAAAATGTCTCACCTACAACCATTAAACTGCCACCGCGGCAGACGAATCAAGGAGTACCTCATAACGTCGTGCAACAACAGCCTACAGAAGTAATTACTCGTTTGATATCGAATCATTGACGAATTTCATCAAATATAGTATAATGTGTATGTATTTCAGGTTTGTTTGAGATGGAACAGTTATCATAGTAATATGCAAAACAGTTTCCCGTCTTTATTGGATACCGAACAGTTCGTCGATGTTACTTTAGCCTGCGAGGGACGCTCGTTGAAATGTCACAAAATGATACTTTCAGCGTGTAGCGATTATCTCGCTGATCTATTACGCGAGAACCCGTGCCAGCATCCGATAATTCTAATGAAGGATCTTAAATTTTGGGAGGTCGAAGCACTAGTCAAATTTATGTACCGCGGAGAAGTGAACGTAGCCCATGATAAGCTACCCCAACTTCTAAATGCGGCTGAAGCATTGCAAGTGAAAGGATTAGCCGGCCCAAATCCTTCGTCACAGGTAAAATACTTGTCTCATTTTCTAATTCTGTTACTAGCGTTGAATGACATTCGTCGCAACTTTGCAGAATCCAAAACCACCATTGCTAATCCCGCAGTCGAAGACAGCAGGATCTCAGTCAGTTCCTCGAGCTGCTTCAGAGACCAAAGAGAAAGCTTCAACTTCCGGAGTTTCAACGCCTTCTAGTCCGAAACGTGCGCAGAAACGGCAGCACTCGGATCCGATCGAGCCGAAGCCGTTCACAAAAATACGCTTACAACGACCCGCAACGCCTACGTCGCCGATTCCTACAGTCAAGATGGAGCCCTTAGATATACCTCTTAGCCCTACGGAAATATTCCCCGAGAATAATGAGGATAGTTCGACGCCGTCAAACTTCGAGAAGTTGATGAATTTGCACGAGGAGGACGATCCGGGTGGCAGTGAGACCATCGACGGTGAACGAGAACTTCATTTCTGTGAGATATCCGAACCGCCCGACATAAACGACAGCGAGGACCAAATGGAATTCGTACCGACGGACTTTTTAGAACAGGAACAGGACATAGTTGAAGAGACGGACGTAGTCTCGAACAAAGATTGCAAAGAAGAATCTAGGGATTTCAGCCCTACCGAACTCGAGGACGGCGAAGAAGAAAGTGAGGTCGCAAAGGAACAATCCTCAAAAGAAAAGAAACCGGTGTAATAAGGCTGTGGACGATTCCTCAATACTCGGAGTTTCGTTGAAGTAAAATAACGAAGTCTGTGTTTTAATTTTTTTCTAGAGTTATCCAGTATTGCCATGAAAGTATGATCATGTATAGATCTTCATTTTGAATTTTAATCGATCCAGACGAAAATAGTATATTGCGTTTGTGATACACCGTTGTATAAAATCGTTTCAATTTTTAGTTTGCGATTATTTTTTTTACTGATCATGAACGAAACTAATATTCCACACGACGACTCTACTGTTTATTTTCAGAGAAATATGATACTGTAAATAGGAGCGTAAGGGATTAAAGAAGTAAAACTATTTTTACCACTTATAAATACGAATCATAGCGGCTACGTGTATGTGTTAAACATTTCGTCTAAGTTCAGTGTTCGAAAATGATATTTCTATACGAATGAACATGCCAGAAAGTACGATTTAAATGAAGATCATTTAATGTAATGTATATATTTATAAAATCATGTACCTATAATCATTTTATTGTGTGAGTCGTAGAAATTTAATTTCGCGAGGTTTAATTATAATTTACACTTGCAAAATACATGAATCAATTTCATAGAACTCAAACAGGAGTCTAACAAAAATTAACTTCGGTTATTCAATCGGAAGTTTATCAATGATTTTTATGATTAGTGCTGAAAACCGGCTAACTAATCTTTTTGTTCACGAATAAGCTTTTAACACTGTAAAGAAAATATAGCTTCTTAAAAGAAAAGCTGTACCTGTAAACGTCGTCTATTTGCAACATCGTTTATTGACAAAAAGTACAACGCGTGTTAATAATTGTAAATCATAAGAAAACTTTTACTATACTTATTCTTTTCTGTTACTTGCGTAATATTGTATAATTTCTTTATTTCGATTGTGCCCTTTCAAATATATATACATATATATATATATATTATATGATATGCAAAGAGATGTCTGATTTCATTAACAGATTAATGCAAAATAAGTTGCATTTATACATTAGTTGTAAAAATTCATTATTGTTAGCAAACTTACGAAATTAATAAATTGATATCTCAGTGTCATCATCATTCTAATACACTGTAGTTCCTCATTTAGGTTCCTACAGATAATATGAAATTTCTTCCCAGTAAACCTATTTGTCCTTATATCTATACACAAACGTGTGCTGTGTATATGTATAGTACGTATTAATACGAAATACGACGAAATTACGATTACGAAAAGGATTCATACACAATCGAAAAATTTATGTAAATTATACAATTACAAATAAATTGCTATAGCAGAATATAGCAAAACTATTCCTGTTATTATCTTGAACAATTTTCTCACCCTCAAAACAATGGTATTAAAGTTACAAACGATGTTATCACGGAAATCTTACCTACTATTATAATTTGTTTTAAAACTCCTACGAAATTATTAAGAGACATAAAGGTACTCACATTATTCTCTGGAACTTGTCTCTCGTTTGAGTTGATCTTGAAATCAATCACGATTGCTCCGCAGATCTAGCACTGGGTCCGGGCTCGGAGCGGATAGCGGATCACTCGCGCAAAGGGATATTCGCAGAAAAAAATGAAACACGGAAGAAAACGGCGGGCAAGTAAATACGAACGCACTTCGGTTCAATCAAATCGGCAAACAGATAAGAATTCTACCAACAGTTATTACAAATACTAAACACCATGAAATAAAAGAAGCTTTAATATCATCAAGGAAGACGCACAATTGTAATTCCCAATTTTCCTTATTTCAAAATATAAAAAACGCACACTTCATCTTGACAGGAAGGTGTTTGAACGATTATCGAGAATTTACCCTCTCTTATATTTCGGCTTCTAAGAAGGAATTTTAATGAAACATGACTCAAATTAAAACTAGAGCTCCCAGAAATATAGATAGACCATTTAGAAAGATGTAACATTATTATTTATAACGTAAATTTATAATATCCATGTACGATGAAAAATAATGCGAACACGTTCTCATGAACCATGTTCGAATCTTAAACATTCTATTATTCAATACGTTCTACGAACAGGACATCACTACTCATCTTAATAAAATTGTTAAGAATCTTGTTGAAATAGATTGGTAAAATTAATTGATCATTCTTAAACTCATAAAAACGCACTGTATTGTCTTGAAAAATTGCACCCATTGCGCATGGCTGGCACTGGATGGCACATTGGCATACATTGCATCAGAGAGGAAGTTCCTCTCTGGTTGAACTGAACGTGTCAGATCCCTGCAAAATTTAGCTTTGGCAGCACCATCGAATTGGGGACACCGAAACCTGGGCCGTGAGCACTCTCAGTTCCTCTCTGATTGCATACATCAAAATCAAGTGATACCTCGGAGTGTGCTCGTAGAGTTAATCAAATCAGTAAGAAAACAGTTGGAAAATAATTAAATAAGATATAAGAGAATTGATTGTAGATTACAGTATTTGTTTTAATACCTTCGTAATTTTGGATTTTGATTTGGAAGGCGTAAGGAAAACAGGTAAATATGATTATGACGGGTAGAACGAAAATTATTCTATCTTTATTATTTAATTCACATCTATTTGCAAAATCCTCATTTAAGAAATATATTAGAAGAATATAAGTTGAAACGAAAAAGAATTATACTGTATATCGTATATTCGATTTATTTTGAAATGATTAAGTATATTATGTGTAACGGTCGTTTACTGTTCCTCATTGAGTTTAACTTGTTGCTCAAGTTTTAAAAATTATTTCGATCTTCACTTCATAGATGAACTTTCTTGTAAGGAGCGTGTAACTATTTTCCAATTCGTGTGCAGATTATAACAGTAATAATTGCTATAAATAGTATCTTATCTTTTATTATCTTACGTCTTTGAACACAATTATCACTTCCCATGCCACTATAAAAAATATTACTAAATTCATTCATAAATGTAATATTTACATTTGTTTTAGAGAAAGATATTCTAAGCGAAAAATGCCAAAATCAAAGGAATATGTCGATAGTACCGATGATAGTAGCAATGAAGAGGTATTTCGTTGATGTTTAATGTTCTTCGTCGTGTTTTTATTCTCGTTTGTAATTATTTAATGTTATCATCAGGAGGAAGTGAAACCATCAAAACAAAAGAAGAGAGAACCTGAAGAGAAGGAAGAGAAGATGGCAAAAAAGAAGAAGAGAGAACCTGAGGAGAAGGAAGAGAAAACAGCAAAAAAGGCCAAAAAACAGTCGGGCGACGATGAAGATGATAGTTGGGATTTGGGAAATAATCGTAAAGTTATGGTCCGGGACTTTAAAGGGAAATTGCTGGTCGATATTAGAGAAATGTATTTTGATAATGCAGGAAACACAAAACCTGGAAAGAAAGGTATTAACCAGATTACTGTTCTTTCATTAACACTATTAGAAAGAATCAAAGACAAACTAATACAAAATTTTCGGTTTTACAGGTATTGCTTTAACTATGCCTCAATGGCGAAAATTACTGGATATTATAGAAGACGTTGACGAAGCTGTAAAGTCTAAAGCTTAAATTTCTCTTTCATTTTATATCAGTCCACACAAATGTTTCACGAAACTTGGCACTTTCAACATCTAATGTGTGCCTATGATACTTAAAGTGTATTATAAATGTTAAATGTAAATAAAATACACATTTCTTTTCTATAAATAATTTTTGTATACATATACGTATATTCAATTTCGTATAGTTAAGAATTTATTTTCATTCTCGTCAATAAACAATATAAGAAAATATATTCGTCATTCTTTTAAATAAATTTCTAAATATGTATGTATGCATATTCCATTTAGCAATGTAATGCATATAAAAGAAACTCGTATATTCATAAAATAAATAGCAACTTTTTAAAGCCACACTTCACTAGTGTGTTGTACATGTAAAATAAAAATATTACATAAAACCAGAATATGTATAATGAGACTTGCATCTTGGAGCAATATTATAGAAACATTAGTTATCTTCATCTTCATCGATTTTTGGTGCTAAATAATATCTAATGTATCCGATATCTCCAACTGTGTATTCGCATACTAAGGGTGCATCAGGGGACATTGATAATTGCATTTGTGTACAAAGAGGCCCAGCTTTTACAAAACAATTCAGATAACGACAGGCAAATGTCAACTTTACTGGCTCTTGTAGATTAATAATGACTGCTTCTTCTTCCTTATCTACTTCTGCCGTTTGTGCTAATCTAACAGTGGCTGGAATAGCAAAACTTACTTGTATCAAATATACAATATTAATTGTACAAATATGCATATTCCTTAATTAACAAACCTTGACCATAATCCCCTGATGAACTGAACTTTATGCCGTCCTTATTACAAGCAATTGTTATCGATTCTCCAAATTGACTTAAATCTCTACAGATGCGAGAGAATTCTTGGGATGGCATTTTGACAACACATGCATATGAGGTTTCCTAAAGACCATTAGATAGTCATTAATTAGTTGTATGAAATAAGAAAATAGTTCTCTGAGTCTCAAGAATCTTACAGGAATACCAAGGTGTTCTTGATCAATATTTATTAATTTCATTTCATATTCTGCAAGTTTCTCTTTACTTGGCGATTCGAATATGAATGTAATGTTCTCTGGATTATCTGAAGCTCGTAATGTAACAGTTTCATCTGAACCAGCACATCGTAGAATTTTATACATGCTGAGAAAACAAAAAAGAATGATTTATCTTTTTACCATTGAAAGTGCTTGTCTTATTCCATTGTTAAGGGAAAAAATTATATACTAAAACGCTACCATGCAATGTTCATGCCCATCGACAGATTTCGGTCGCATCTGTATTTGTCAAAACCGTCGCTTCTCAAATTAATAGAAATTAAAGAAACATGGGCATTGTCCATAGCTTGCAACTGGATGCCGGAGTCGAGACATTCGAAGGTCGCTTCGTTTAAAAGATCCTTTATTGCATCCAGTAGTTTCTTCAGGATCGCATTCTGTAATAAACGTGCCTCAAACATTTTCCTGATTTATTTTCGAGAAATTTGCACAATTAACGATAGTCAACAACTACTGACACTCTGGCCACAATCACATATCTGAACCTAAACAAATACTTTGAATGACTCATTCAGAGTGAGTTCGAATTGTTCGAGCACGTGCCAACGCCAACGTGTGACGTGATACAAGTACATACAAGTGCAAGTGCAGGTGCAGGTACAGTGCGGCGAACGTAACGTCTGGTAACAACGTAACCAGCATCTGCATGCAAATATCTGACTTTGTAGTGAAACAAAATAAAACAGTTGTATAAGTTGTTCAATTTTAGATAACAGTAGTTCTTTAAAATATTTCTACATTGTTGTAAGTTATGATAACACGAAACTTACGTAAGATTACTGTAAACTTGGAGGATTGTTACAGTAGCTTGAATAAATTGATGCTGAAACAAATGACTTAAGACGCGTGTAATAAACTTACGGTCACAAACGTTATTAAAAACATTAAATAAACATGAACTGCACTTTATTAATACGAATGTACAGTTCTGGGTCTCTGCCTACAATAAAAAAGAGCGCAAAGCTAATTAGAAACGAGTTTTTGGATTATTTTAAGAAAGATTTAAGTCATAATTTCGTCCGATCAAGTCCAGTTATTTCATTTAACGATCACACAGTTGCATTTGTCAATGCCGGCATGAATCAGGTATGTGTTACTTCAAAAATTGATAATATTAATTGTTAGAATTCAGAGATTGAAATGAAATTCGTGATGTATTTTTTGCTTTTAGTTTAAAGGTGTCTTTTTAGATTATTACGATGCGCCTGGAACAAAAGTTACAAACTCACAAAAGTGTATAAGAATCACTGGGAAGCATAATGATCTAAACACCGTTGGAAATGATAGTTACCATCATACATTCTTTGAAATGTTAGGGAACTGGTCTTTCGGAGATTACTTTAAGGTAGATTTTGATTATTTTTAAATTTATCTAAACTACACACACGAATATAAATTGATGATGCTTTCAGGAAGAAGCCTGTCGTTATGCCTGGGATTTATTAACAAAACGTTATGGTATCAATGAAGAATCATTATACGTAACATATTTTGGTGGAGATGAAAAACTGGAATTACCAGCTGACTTAGAATGTAGAGATGTTTGGTTAAGCATCGGTGTTAAAAAGGACAAAATTCTTCCATTTGGATTGCAAGAGAATTTCTGGGAGATGGGTGTATCAGGACCATGTGGCCCGTGTACAGAAATACATGTAGATCACACGAAACAATTATTAAATCGATCTGCAGAAATTAACAAAGGATATTCAAACCTCACAGAGTTATGGAACATAGTTTTCATACAGTATGAAAGGTACGTGATTTAAAATAAAAAACATAAACGTTCTTATAAAGGAGTTTCATTCATTTCATCTTGTTAGATTATTAAATGGTGCGATAGTACCTTTGTCCAAACATCATGTCGATACAGGCATGGGATTTGAGAGATTAGTTGCACTGTTACAAGGAAAACAGTCCAACTATGATACAGATCTTTTTCAACCACTTTTTAAATCTATCCAAAGATATGCGAAAGTGCCAGAATACAAAGGACAATTTTATGACAATGCAGATGAACTTGATAGCGGATACAGGGTATTAGCAGATCATAGCAGAATGATAACTGTGGCTTTAGCAGATGGAGTGGTGCCAGAACACAGGTATGTAAGTAAATAAATTTCATTATATTATTTATATGGACAGATGAAGTCCAATTATATTTTATACTTTCAGCAATAAGCTTAGGAGAATAATAAGGAAATCAATCGATATAGGTGAGAAAGTTTTCAAGAAACAAGGAATAATTCCAGAATTATCGTATGTCGTGGCAGAAACATTAGGCGATGCTTATCCAGAACTGGAAACTAATTTAAAGAAGGTACAATAGTATAACGTATAATATAATTCTATATCAAATTTATTTATAAAAATACAATATTCTACAATTTATTGTAGAATGCAATTTTATTTAGGTGCAAAAGATAATACGATTCGAGGAAGAATTGTACAAGAAGTTACGATCTACTTCTGGCGAGAAATGGAACAAAGTCGTTGAAAAGCGACCTTCATTGAAAGGAGTCACTGAATGGTTGGCTCCAGGGCTGGTAGACGGCTATAAGTATCTCCAAGGGATACTTAACGATCTGTAAGTTCAGCTATTATGTAATAATTAGGTATGCACGCACGTTGACAGGATAAAATATCTTGTTCCATATGTTATTAATATCGCAGGAAAGTTGACAATGTTTTACCAGGATGTGTCGCGTTTAAGTTATACGACACATATGGCTTAAGAGTAGAAACGATAAACGAATTAGCTAAGATTGAATCTCTAGATTTCGATGAAGCTGCTTTTCAGGAAGAATTAGAAAGTCTTAAAAGTCGGTCAAGAGTGGGTCTTGAAAAGATAAGTGTAACAGTGTTTAAAAAATCTTTAGAAGTACTTGAAGAAAATCACATGCCTAGAACTGATGACAGTTTTAAATACAAATTCGTTTTCAATGGTTACAATTATAAATTTCCGAAAATTGAGAGCAAAGTACTGGCATTAATTCTAAATGGTAAAGATAGATCGCTGATTCGTTTTGATTTTACATTACCTAAATTTAAATAACATTGTAAAGCAATATGTAATTTATTTGCTTTAGACACAGTCATATTGAATAATGCGAAGGAAAATACAATTAAAGATACATGTTTAACGATTCACGATGAAATCTTAAAATATCCAGAATCAGAGGAAGATGAAATTGGTATTATATTAGATAGAACGATGTGTTATTCAGCGGAGGGTGGTCAAGCATCAGATATCGGCACGATACAGATGCAGCATATGAATTTTAATGTGACCAACGTTAAAAAGATCGATGGATACGTAATACATTATGGAAAGTTGCTACAAAATAATTTGAAGTAAATTCAAATCCTTACTTTTCTCATTTTTACATTACATTGATTAATAGAAAGAATATTAAAAAAGGGAGAAAAATTTGTTCTTACAGAGAATGGATTGAGGAACTGAAAACGGGGAACAACTGTACAGTTTCCATTGAACCTGAATCTCGAATAGGGATGATGCAGCACCATACTGCAGCACACTTATTGAATGCATTTATACAGAATACTATGCAAGCAGTTTATTCACGGAACTCTGTGGTTCTACCGCACAGTTTAAAATGCCAGTTCAATTCCTTTGGAGAGAAACTTTCGTTCGAAAAAATAAGGGAAATTGAAGAACGTATAAACGATGTTATCAGAGCCAATGTACCTGTTACAACAAAGGTGTTAAACGCATTGGAATTACTAGCCGAAGATTCTGTAACGTTAATACCCGGAGAAATCTATCCTTATAAGAATATCAGACTAGTAGAAATTAATTGTCCTCATGTGAAATCAAAGTAAGGCTTCTAAAATATGATAAGCATAATAATATTTTTCGTTTTCTCTGATTTTTAGTGCTATATAAATCTTCTAGCTGTTATTCAATAACAACTAATATCACGCATATTCTTTAGGGAAGCTTGTTGCGGTACACATATATTGAAAACAGGAGGATTGAGATATTTCTGTTTTCTCGATTACTCCTCAAGAGGAGCAGCGAATTTAACACTTAAAGCTGTAGTAGGAACGCCTGCACTGATCGCCAAATTGACAGGTGAAAAAATGCAACGTACGATTTTGGAATTAGAAAAGAAATTAAAAATCGGAGAAATTACACGGGAGACATACAAATCGCTTAGTAAAGAGATTGCAGATGAAATAAAAGATAATAAAGAAATATCATACGTGAGTAAAGAAGAGTGTTCGATGAAATTAAGAGATTTAAACAAATTCATGGCTATGCAAGAAAAGGAAATGGGGAAGTAAGTATTGTATTTTCTAAATGCCAATACACATAAAGCAGCATATGAATTTTAATGTGACCAACGTTAAAAAGATCGATGGATACGTAATACATTATGGAAAGTTGCTACAAAATAATTTGAAGTAAATTCAAATCCTTACTTTTCTCATTTTTACATTACATTGATTAATAGAAAGAATATTAAAAAAGGGAGAAAAATTTGTTCTTACAGAGAATGGATTGAGGAACTGAAAACGGGGAACAACTGTACAGTTTCCATTGAACCTGAATCTCGAATAGGGATGATGCAGCACCATACTGCAGCACACTTATTGAATGCATTTATACAGAATACTATGCAAGCAGTTTATTCACGGAACTCTGTGGTTCTACCGCACAGTTTAAAATGCCAGTTCAATTCCTTTGGAGAGAAACTTTCGTTCGAAAAAATAAGGGAAATTGAAGAACGTATAAACGATGTTATCAGAGCCAATGTACCTGTTACAACAAAGGTGTTAAACGCATTGGAATTACTAGCCGAAGATTCTGTAACGTTAATACCCGGAGAAATCTATCCTTATAAGAATATCAGACTAGTAGAAATTAATTGTCCTCATGTGAAATCAAAGTAAGGCTTCTAAAATATGATAAGCATAATAATATTTTTCGTTTTCTCTGATTTTTAGTGCTATATAAATCTTCTAGCTGTTATTCAATAACAACTAATATCACGCATATTCTTTAGGGAAGCTTGTTGCGGTACACATATATTGAAAACAGGAGGATTGAGATATTTCTGTTTTCTCGATTACTCCTCAAGAGGAGCAGCGAATTTAACACTTAAAGCTGTAGTAGGAACGCCTGCACTGATCGCCAAATTGACAGGTGAAAAAATGCAACGTACGATTTTGGAATTAGAAAAGAAATTAAAAATCGGAGAAATTACACGGGAGACATACAAATCGCTTAGTAAAGAGATTGCAGATGAAATAAAAGATAATAAAGAAATATCATACGTGAGTAAAGAAGAGTGTTCGATGAAATTAAGAGATTTAAACAAATTCATGGCTATGCAAGAAAAGGAAATGGGGAAGTAAGTATTGTATTTTCTAAATGCCAATACACATAATATTAATAATAACATTATTAAGTAACAATGATGTCTTAAATTAATATTTATCTATCATTCTTAATATCTATAATAAATCAATTGTAGGTATTCGATGGGATAACGGAGAATGGATTGAGATGTACAAGCATCACATTCAAACGAGCTTATTTGATTCCTTTTCTGTGACTTCTCGGTCTCTTGTAACATATTTCATATAACAAATAAATTGTTATATATTGTAATGAAATAGAAGAAAGTAATATATTAAATGAAAGCAATAGAGGAATTTATTAAAAAATACACAGATGAAGAATATATGGTGAAGATAAATTATATTTTTTATCATGCATAAATTTCAGCAATAACTATTTACATGATTTATTATTTTCTATATTATTTGTATAAAATTCTCTTAACGCGTCCAATTGCAAAGGACGTAGTAGTACATGAGGTCTCTTTTGCTGCATATATGCTACTGCTTCCTCTGGGGTCCACTGATTTTTCTAAAAAGGTTTTATACTACAAATGTATATGTAAGCATGTAAATAACAACTTGATCGCTTTAGATTCTACAGATACTTGAAAATTACACGTAGTCGTCATGTATCCAATTTATAAATCTTACCATCATTAAATAGCATCCCACTAAGGTTGCACTACGTGTCCTCCCTGCTTTACAATGTACATAAACGCTCCCGACATTATCAGAGTCATCGGTACATTTATCAGAGCCCGACAATTCTTTTGGTACATTACGGAATTTATTAATAAACTTTACACCGCCCTCTAATTTATCTTGGGGTGGAGAATGAAAAATGTCTGTTACAGATAATTGTAAAAACTCCACGTTATGTTTTTTCCATTCCTATAACGACATGCGAAATTACACATTCCAAAATGGTAGATTGAGTATTTTACATGAAAGATAATATAGTTCTTATACCTTTTCTGAATTTGAGAACAATCGTAATTCGTAATCTTCATTCATTGAAACAACTCCCTTAACATTTTCTTCAGTTACTAACTAAAATCGAAAAAGATTCATACTATATTGTTTTATATGCCATATTGCAGTCTACAAAAATTTATAATAATTCATAGATTAATCTAATACCGTCGTTTTTTTTTTACGGAGCTCATCAAATATATAAGAAAAAGCATATGCAAAGTGTGATGACACAATAATAAGATTTAGTAATGAATTTATTGAGAAATAAATTATCAGCTATCGTTGTTAAAATGTAAAACTGATCACTGCACAATTGTATACCTTTTCTGTCATACTTCGAAATGGTAAAGCCCCCAATATAACGGTCTCGTCAATTCTATCATACCAATTTCTTGATGAAATTTTTTCCATCAACACATTATAGACCAGCGTTGGATAAAACGACACTCTCGCAAACATTGCTGCTACAATTTCAGTTTAACAGATAATAATTATTAAGCCGTGGTTTATCAAACTTTAGACTACATTAGAAAAGCTAAACGCTATTTTTTTTTTGCGAACTCATTTGAGATTTAAATCGGCCAACGTGACAGAACATTTTTAAAGAATCATTTTTAACTTAAAAAGTTAATTCAGCGAACGAACAGTCTTCTTCGTGATGCGTAGAATGTTCGGTGAGTGAAAGTAACAGAACTTGAGGGGGCCAGAGCGAGTTAACATAACGGGAATTTAAGATCTTAAACGATCGAGAATGCATAATCTTCACAACGATTTATTTGTTCGTCGTCATATAAATTTATTACAAATGAGAATAAGTTAGGAGACATATGCAAGAAGAAATACATGTAAATGTAGTTTTTATTTAAAGCTATTTTTAGATGAAATCTAGATATTATAATTAGTATTCTGGTAGAAGTCTAATACATTAGTCGATTTGCTTAACGTAATATTAATAGATTTGTATAATATATACAAAAAAGAAGTAAAAGGTGACTAGAGCATTAAAATGAAAAAAAATACCATTACTTCTGTTTGATAAATTATGTTATGGAAGTATCACATTTTTTTATTTATTGCTTATAAATATAACATAATAGATAAATGTATATCAGTATTTCCTGCTAGTACTCTAGCTCCTGTTCATTAAAGATATAAATATGAAATTATCTATTTGGTTCTTTTATCACAAAATACTTCGTTCTCTTAATCGTTTACATTAATTAGTTTTATTCATTCTCTGAGTTCATATAATTGTAAATAACATTTTATATGAATGGTCACTTATTTACACATATAACATAATATGGAACGTTAATATAACAAATCCTCATCTAAACAATAATTGCCTAATTCCCCTTTTCTGAACATAGAGAGCAAATGCTCTGCAGCAAACCTCATATCCGGTTTCATAATTATTTTACCATCGTAATTTCTTATGCCTAACGTTTTTTTCAGCTTCGCTGCGATATATACAAGTACGTGCGATATATCATCACTCGGGTTTGTTAATCCTAATTTCTCTACATACTCAAATCGTTCGTGCTTGTTCAACCAGAACAGCAAATAATCTGCAAGAATTTCAGGGCCTACCAAATGATCTTGCATGCAACCGACTAACGCTAATTTTAAACCCGTATGCATATCATTTATTCTCGGAGCTAAAATTCCAGGTGTATCTAAAACGTAGATATCTGGAATTTCTGACACTTTTACTCGTGTAGAGACAGATCGCGTGATGCCAGCAACAGCACCAACCGCCACAGCGCTACTTTTATGAAGAACATTGTTCCTTAAACGATTGATCAACGAAGATTTCCCTACGTTAGGTACACCGATAATCATCATTTGAAATGACGATTCTTGTGATCTGTTAAAACGATTCGATTCCTTGATTAATCTCTGAGCTAAAGGCAAAAGTTCCTTAACACCTTTGCAGTTCTGATTTTTAAAACTAGTAAACAGTACATTTGGTAATCCCTTATTGTTTAAATTTTTTATTACAGAATTCTTAAATTTCGTATCAGTCAAATCCATTTTGTTTAATAAAAAGATATGTGGTTTCAGACCAGTTATTGTTTTACTAAAATCTGCGTAATGCCCAGAGATAGGAACCCTGGCATCATGAACTTCAACCACTAAATCTACGTTCTTTAATTGCTGTTTCATTTGCTTTACACCTTTACCCATGTGCCCAGGGAACCACCTTAATATGTCTTTTGTTGCTACTTGAAAAGTATCACGGAATTTAGGTGCTACGTTACCTGGAGTCATCATTTTGAAAGGCTTTGTGTATATACAGATCGTTTGGAACAATCTCCTGAAACAACATTTTTATTATACAACATTATGTATCTATTAGTTATAATTTAATGTATAAATACTTCCTTTAGTAAGAGCATAGCGTTACAGTACATTTTATAATTATAATACTATGTTATAAGTGGAAGGTTACCTTTCAACACTTTCTATTCGACTTATGAATGAGAATTACGACTGACAACGCTTGTTATATTAAGTGTGTCACTTGCAGAAGCCAACACATAAAAATATGTGATTATTACTTATTATTACGAATGCGAACAAAACCATGCAACTTATTCAAACATAAAGTACACATGCACATGTGCATGCATTATGTATGTTGCACGTGTCCATACATATACGATTTCAGCTGGTGGACAAATGCGAACTTCGTCTGACAAGGTTAACACTTGACAGTAATAAAAGGGTTGTTTTCATTTGATAATAAATAAACAATTAAAGAATATAGAAATAAAGTATTTTTTAAATAAATTTTGTATGGAAGTCAGTACATCTTCTTAAAAGCCTAAATTTATATAGTTGACGAATTAATATTAAAACCCTGTTTATGAATCTATCTGACGTAAATTAATAAAGTTGAATCGAAAGAAATCGAACGTTATTTTACATTTCTGAATTGCCTTAAGGATCGTACGTCGAAATGGAAACTAGCCGTCTGGTCTGAGCGACGTTTGCGCACAACGTGGGTTCGCGGCCGTGCGAGCTAGAGTCCACATGAGCCTGTTGCCAGTTATTGATCCTGACACGATTAAACAACACTGCATTGCTGTCAACTACGAAAACAATTCTGGTCACGCAGCGTTTGTAAAAACGCAATCGAGAAACGGTCGCCGGATTTAACGTGCGCGCGTTTATATATTTCACGGGAACCGTGGTCGCCGCGTCGAAAATGTGTCGTTGTGCTTTCACGACGTCATCGTTGTTCTGTCAAAATGTAGAGGAGGCTCCGCAAGACTTGAAATATCGATGAGTGACATTCGCCACTGATACCGCGGAGATGTCATCGGGAGTTTTCCGCGCGAGAACGAACTCTTAAATAAACAGAATACGTACGCCGTCTTAATAAGAATTATTTCGGTACACCGTGTTAAACGTTCGCCCGAAAAATCTTCTCGGAAAGCGTCGCGCGTATAATTGTACATTTTCCGAACTTATCACGGGGAACACTCGAATTTGTGTTACCGTCGCACATGTGATCCTCTAGGCATCGTCTTCGGTCCGTAATGAAGAAGTTCACAATTAAAGGCGTGCTCGACGGGTTCCGATCGTCGGTACCGCAACCCGTCAAACCCGATCAAGAGATCGTCGAAAATTTACGGCCGGAACACTTTCAAGTGAAAAAGGTCAGTGACAATAATACGCTGCTCGCACAACATTTGCTGTATTTACAAGTCTAAATGCCTTTTCCATTACGTATATATTTATATTTGGACATATCTATAAGGATAATGTACACGCATGACATCTTATTCAAAACATACATTACGTTATAACGTTGTCCATTATTTTCTAATAGTTTATGTTTGCGCTTTACAAATGGAGTGTGACCTAATTATAAAAAAAGCATTTACTTATCCTGTACGATATGTTTGATCGTTCGCTTGCTCCTTTATCTTTTTGTTATACTCCCGTTTCTTTCGTCTTGCGAAATCAATATGTTAGGAAAATCATCAATGTTATCACTGTGACCGTGTAATACTATGATACCGCATCGTGAGTTAGTAATACGACGTGCTGATACTGAGGCGTGTATTCGGAATACGCCGTACAAGCCAATTAATTGATTTGCAAGAGTTCGTTATTTAAGTTACCGTCGAATTTTAATTCGAGGGAAGGTAAATAAGTAATTCTATATTTACGATTAATATTTATTTCGATCGTTTCATAATTTAACCCTGTAGATTTATGTGGAATAAGTTTTATTACCTATTGTCATTTAATTCTAACACTAATATTCTGTACATAACAGTGAGTCCCAAAATTATTAGTGCATCGATGCCTTCCTCTTTTTTTTTACATATATCTGAGTCAATGATTTTGCGACTCACTGCTGTATGTTAACAACGACGTAAACATTTTCATAATGTAAATAAATGTACAATAAATAACATTAATACTTCGAGTATATCGACTTCGTTGTAGAAAGTGTGTAAATATATTTGTAAAAATATATAAATTCTATGGATCGGTTCATTTTAACACCATTCATCAAAATCGAACCTGGACAAGTATTTTCACGGTATGTATTTTGTTTTTTATTTATTTCAACTTACCACGTTCTGTCCTCGACCGTAAGACGCTCCAAATGATGGAAAAAATAATTATGCCGTGCGAAATAAATGGGCGATTTGCACTTGCATGATGCATATCTGCCAATAGTTTCTTCCAAGTTACACGTACGTACGCTTAGCGTTATCGGAGTAACGTTTGTGGGTCGTGTATCTACGTGACGTATCACGAATGAATAATGATTTCGATATTGTTTAAATAACTGTTGCCGATACGTCCGAACATAACAATTCGTATATCGACATGTGTGCGTAACGTACGGCCAGTTGACCGGGGCCGTTGTGAAACGGTAAACGTTCCGACGTATTGCTCTTATCCGAAGTAATATTCGTTTTATCTTTGGGAGCAGGTGGCTGCAAAGTTCATTAATTTGTTCGTTGTTTCGAACTTACGTTTATAACGTTGCGCGGGCTGAAAGTTTTAAACTGTTCCTTTATACGAGAGCACGAGCAGTTGAATGTTATCGATTTTTAATCACTTCACCGGCAGGGTTGATACGTTGATTTTCAAACTGAATTCTGCTGGCAGCGTTTTGTGAACTTTCAAGTGGATACGTGAATGAACGAGTAAGAAGTAATGAATTGTTGCCGGGAGGTAATCAATCAATCTCTTCGAGTTGACGACATGCGATAAGCAGTGAAAAAAAGTTGATAATATGTTACAGCTTTAATTTTAATGAAATTCGGCTGACAACGTGCAACGAGATGATAAGAATGTTACGGAAAATATTATTAAAAGTGTCAACGTAATCAGTTGAACTATTTCCTTTTATTAAAATACATGCATACGCAAAGCATATGCGCGCGTATGTAGTGTTATCTCAGACTCTTTCTTTATACTCTTTTTGTATTAAAGAAAAATCTCTATCTCGTATAAAAACGTCACATGTTTCTTTTCTCCAATAAATCTCACTTAAAAGGCGAGAAACGTTGATAAAACAATGCCCCCTTGGTATTTTATGGCTTTCCTGATTAAAGAAGATCACCACGTCCGCGTAACGATTTGTCGTTAAACCGAAATAAATCGCGTAGCAAGTTGCGCTTATTGTCAGTCGGCGTTTTTCATAAAAACCGCGTCTGCGGTGTTCTTCGTTTATTACCATAAAAAAATGCGCCGCAATTTGCGCAATTACGGTGCTCGCCCGGAGGAGTTATAGTCATCGAGAGGGAGTCGTAATTCACTCATCGTCAGTTGACCATGCGACCGAACGGATAATGCTCTTAATGCTCTCGAGAATCAAGTTTAAATCTCGAATTCACTCCCGGACATGTTTCTTCGCCTCGTGCAAAATACGGTGTCCTATTTTCTGGACTCCGTGAACGCATTAATCTAGATTCCGCGTACGCACTTTAACGACGCGGTTCGTTTTCTCCGTTTTGCGCTCGAGCTGGCGCGACAAACAGAAAATATCGGGTTGGCGGAATAGTAATGACGGTTCGTAAACGCGCTGAGATAAACAGTTTCGAATTACTCGTGTGTAAACGTTCTTTTATGTCAGAACTGTATTCCATGCTTATAAGTAAAACAGTACAGATTCAGCGAGCGCAGTTTTATTAGTTTTAACAATAGACGTGAAACGCGATGAATTCTCTGTTCTCAATGTATATGAAAAAAGCTAAATTAAAACGTGAAATGTATGCAATTTAATTGTAGACTGAAAAACCTCGAGAGTACGTCAAACAATCTTTTTAATTAAAATCATTTCTTTTACAGAATTAACTTTTACAGAATGTACGCAAAGCAATGGTCATTGTATTGAATTAAGCATCAATTGTATTTTTATATTTGACACTAGCATTTATAGACTGAACAGTTTTATATGCAATTTAATTGTAAACTGAAAAGCCTCGAGTACGTCAAACGATTTCTTTTAATTAAAATCATTCCTTCTGCAGAATTGCAACTTTTACAGAATGTATGTAAAACAATAGGCATCGTATCGAGTCAAGCATCAATTTTATTTTTATATTTGACATTATCACGTATAGAGTGAACAGTTTTATATGCAATCATTGAAAGTGCATACTTCGAATTCATTTATCAAGTCTACAGACACACAGGCGTGGAACGTGTGTAGGTAAAAAAATGAATAGACACACTAATTAACAATACAAGATAGGATTATACCTGATGTATCTTATCTGATAAGAAAAATATCGAACTTCCTTTTCACATATTCGTTTTTAATTACCGTTGCCTATTGTTCTGTTTAAAAATATCGAAGGCATGCGACATTGCGAAAGCTATTTTTTTAGTGTAGATAAAAGAATTTGTGTAAAATAGTACATGTGACAATTTTATTTTATATCGAACGGAACGAGCCGATCTAATATTGCAACAAACTTACACCAGGCGATGTTACAAAATACGTACGTGCATATGTATGTATAAAAGAGATTGGCTCTAATGGAAGCGAGCGTATAAGCCAAGATTTGCCGAGTCGATAGCAGTATTGAAACGTATTCACGTACGTACTACGGATCTACGTGTATAAAATATACATATACATTCATACATACATCCAACTCGAGACAACTATGTCACTTGTGTAAATTGAACAGTACGAGAACCGGTCACCTCCGTTATTTGTAACTTTACCATATCAATAAAAAAGCAATTTGGAACATATAGATCCGACGTGCACATTTCCGAAGTTATCAGTAATATATAAAAATAAACTCACGATGACTGATTATATTTAGTTGTATCAAACGATGTTAGGATGACACGTGCAAGAAGCTGACATCTGCGGAGCATCGCAGAAGATTTTATCTATTAATTGTTGTATCAATTGTAGATTTATAAAATTCTGATGAGAAATTATTTTCATTATTTCTGTATATATATATGTAATTACATTCTTTTAATAAAAGTTATTCGTTCGATCACAACACATTTGATGAAAGTAATGTTTTCTGAGCACGTTCGTTATCATGTCATTAATAATGTATTGTTTCGCAGTATTCTTATAGCTTGATACTTATAGACTACCTCCGCCTGTGCATTTGTAGACCTACTTACGGTTCTTATTTTGTTTAAAAAGTATTACAATGTTAAAGAGGCGAAAGATCTGAACCGTGTTGATTTCTGATTTTCCATCTATTTTTAACGAGAGCAAAGTAGATTTTTGGGAAGAAAGTTACATAGCGGCGTGCGCCGATATAATATTATTAATCTATAATAGCGAGGGTTACGTACACATGTGTACGCATATTGATTATGTGTACATATTTACGAGCATGTATAATCGATATGTACAGCAGAGCAAGCATCCTTCGTTTTATCTAATTGTAAATGAGGAACATGTTAAAATGTACTAATGAAAGTATCATCTCTCATGAATTCTCTTATAATAATTAGTCTTTTAAATATGTAGAGCTGCGGAAAATTCAAATAGCTTTCGTAATTACATCGCATTAATCGAGTTTAATGTTAATTTTGTTCCGCTGCTTTTCTTCTCGTCACCGACCATCAAAAGGAAAGCAAACGTGAAAAATGCTGCAACTTCGTTGCGAAATTAGTTGTTCCTGTTTAATAAGAAAACTTTCCCTCAGTAATTATTTTCAAACAGTTTTCCTTTGAGATGTATAACCAGAATTAGTGTCTTTTAATTAACGTCATTTTGCATGCACCGTTTCGCTTTCCCAATCAGCGACGTTTCCCCTTTCCAACAGATTCAATTGAATATAATTCGCTTTGAGGCTCGAGGTGATAAAACAAAATTCGCTTAATAATCTAAAAGCCGTCCCAGAAATCGAATTCCTATGCTATGCTGCAGTGCTCTATTCTATGCTATTTATAGTCGTGCTATGAAGCTTGGAAAAACGTTTGATGTAAGTGAATCGTGAATCGCAAACAATGATTATCGCTGAAACGAATGCTGCTGAGTAAATGAACAATTTGTATCCTATCTGATTTCTCCTGAAACATCTATTTAGGTCCAATAATACATCGTTTTATGTCTTTCGATAAATGAATACTATTTTCTTTGATTTAAAATTCACAGTCTAATAAAAATCGAAGTTAGTCTATATATATTGAGAACGATGAATAT